CCGACGCCCCCGCGGAGGCGCGCGGGAGGGGCACCCGGCTGAGCTACGGGACGCGGCCGCGGGACGACGGCGGGCCGCCAGCCCGCACCTGGGAGCTGAAACCCGAAGGTGCTATGTGGGCTCGAAGGCCCCGTGACCCTGGCAAATGCCGTCTCACCTGTCTCCAGAACGGCAGTTGCAAAGGAAATGCCCAGCAATATGGCAATGCTCCGTTGTTGCAATTCTGACACCTATAAGCACAGAGAACTCAATCTACATGATCTTTGGCCGACTGAAAAAAACAAAATCGCCGAAGTCTATCCACAGCAATTGGAGCCTTGTGATTCAGTGGACAGGGCCCTGGTATGAGGAGAAGGGACACATCGCTTCCCTGACAGCCTTCCGGTCTGAAGCTGTGTAAAGGCCCCCTATATCTGTTTGAAGCTCAGTAAGTCTGTATGTAAAGTAGGCGCGAACATTTAAACTGCTTACTCCACACTGTCTTAGGAGGATGTGGATAATGAATGTGAGAACTCTTGGCACTTTATTGTGCCCCTGAAGTTCGGAAGTTCAGAGTTAAGAGCGAAAGAGGATGGTCGGGCTGCCACTTACTAACCGGGTAGCCTTGGAACCTGAACAACCTCTGCAAACCTCAGTAAAAGACTTAGAGAGCCTCTCAGTAAAAAGGGAGCAACCATAGTACCAACCTGATCGGTTTGTTGTGAGGATGGAAGAGAAGGCATTTCACACATCTACAACACAACCTGGCGCACAGTGTGCCTATCACTTAGTGTGCCCACTGCATACATTTTTAAATAGCTTTACGGAGGTGTGTTTGACATGCGATAAGCTATGCATGTTTAGAGCGCACAATTTTGACGTATGTTGTACACGCGTGAAATTATCACCATCATCAACATACCCAGCACCTCCAAGTTTCCCCCTGCCTCTTTGTAATTCTTCCATGTATCACTCTCCCACACTCCCTCTCCAGGCAACCACTAATCTTCTTTCTATTACTGTACATTAGTTTGCATTTTTCAGAATTTTAAATACATGGAATCATACAGTACGTCCTTTTTTTTATTTTGGTATGGCTTCTTCCACTCACATAACTGTGTTGAGATTATCCTGTTGTTGATGATTCAGTTGCCTATCAATAGTTTATTACTTTTTATTGCCAAGTAGTGTTCATTATAGGAATATACCACAATGTGTTTATACAGTCACTTGTTGATGACATTTAGGTTATTTCCAGATTTGCCTATTAAAAATAAAGCTGATGGGAGTGTTTGTGTGCAAGTTTTTGTATGAATGTGCTTTGTATGCATATGCTTTTATTTCTCTTGGGTATAAATATCTAGGAATAGAATAACTAAGTCCAATTGTAGGAGTATATATTTAACATATTAAGAAAGGGCCAACTTGCTTTCCGAAGTGATTGTGCCATTTTATAGTCCTCCTAGCAGCGTATGAGAGTTTCAGTTACTCCACATCTTTGGCAACATTACCTATGATGTCTTTTAGCCATTCTAACGGGTGAGTAGTGGTATCTTACTGTTGTTTTTGTTTTTGTTTTTTTTAAGATTTTATTTATTTGACAGAGACACAGCGAGAGAGGGAATACAAGCAGTGGAAGTAGGAGAGGGAGAAGCAGGCTTCCCGCGGAGCAGGGCACCCGATTCAGGGCTCGATCCCAGGACACCTGAGCCGAAGGTGGACGCTTAACAACTGAGCCACCCAGGCGTCCCTCTTACTGTTGTTTTGATTGGCATTTCCCCTAATGACTAAGATATTGAGCATTTTTTCGTGGACTTATTTGTTATCAGTAAATCCTCTTGGGTGAAATGTATGTTCAAGTCCTTTGCCTATTTTTAAAGTTGGGTTGTTTGTTTTCTTATTAATGAATTTTGAGAGGTGTTTATATATTCTGAAATACAAATCTTTTATCAGATATGTGACTTGTAAATATTTTCTCCCAGTCTGTGCATATCTTTTTATTCTTTTAACAGTATTTTTCAGAGCAGGAATTCTTAATTTTTATGAAGTCTGATTTATTATTTTCTCTTCTATCGATCATGTTTTTGTAGTCATACCTAATGGTTTTTTTTTTCACCTGAATATGTAGTTGTTCTTGTCCTGATCACCCTTGCACCCTTGTTGAAAATCAATTATTCAGCTATGTTAAGGGTCTATTTCTGGCTTCTCTATTATGTTTCATTGATCTATCTTGACACTAAAACCATACTGTCTTGATTACTTTAGCTTTATAATAAATCTTGAAGTCAGATAGTGTAAACCCTCTGATTTTACTCTTCTTTTTTTTTCGTATTGATTTTGCTATTTCAGGTCTTTTGCATTGCCATATGAATTTTAGAATTAGCTTATCAAATTCTGCAAAACAGTCCCCTGGGATTTTGATCAAGATTGCATTGAATCTATAGATCAATTTGGGGAGAACTGACATCATAACAACATACAGTATATCACTCCATTTATTTCCGTTCTCTTTAATTTCTCTCAATAATGTTTTGTAGTTTTCAGAATACAGGTCTTGCTCAGTTTTCTGAGATGACTGCTAAATATTTCACATTTTTTATGCTATTGAGTAGTATTTTTATATTTCAATTTCTGATTGTTTCTTAGTCTATAGAAGTACAATTAATATTTATATATTAATCTTATGTGCTGCAACTTTGCTAAATTCACTTATTAGCTCTAGTAGATTTTTTGTAGATTGCATTAGATTTTCTACAAAGTTAATCATGTCATCTGCAAATAAACACAGTTTTGTTCCTTCCTTTCCAATCTGAATGTTTTTGTTCTTTTTTCTTGCCTGTTGCACTGGCTAAGACCTCGAGTACAATGTTGAATAGAAGTAGTAAGAGCAATTGTCTTTGCTTTGTTCCTCATCTTAGGGGGAAAACATTCAAACTTTCATCATTAGATATGACGTTAGCTGTAGATTTTTCCAAGACGCCTTTTATCATGTTGAGGAAGGTCTTGTCTATCCTTACTCTCCTGAGAGTTTTTATCAGGAACGGATATTGGACTTTGCAATTCTTTTTCTGCATATGGCTTTTCTTTTTAGTCTATTAATATGGTAAATTACAGGGGCGCCTGGGTGGCTCAGTCATTAAGCATCTGCCTTCAGCTCAGGTCATGATCCCAGGGTCCTGGGATGGAGCCCCGCATCGGGCTCCCTGCTCCGCGGGAAGCCTGCTTCTCCCTCTCCCACTCCCCCTGCTTGTGTTCCCTCTCTCGCTGTGTCTCTCTCTGTCAAATAAACAAAATCTTTTTTTTTTAAAGGTTTTATTTATTTGACAGAGAGAAAGACAGCCAGAGAGGGAACACAAGCAGGGGGAGTGGGAGAGGGAGAAGCAGGCTTCCCGCGGAGGAGGGAGCCGGATGCGGGGCTCGATCCCAAGACCCTGGGATCATGACCTGATCCAAAGGCAGAAGCTTAACGACTGAGCCACCCAGGCGCCCCAATAAATAAAATCTTTTTAAAAAAATATGGTGAATTACATCCATTGATTTTCACATGTTAAACCAACCTAGAATAATGTATTGATCCTGGAGTATTATCCTTTTTATATATTGTTAGATTTGACTTACTGACACTTTGTTAAGAATTATTACATCTATGTTCATGAGGTGTATTGGTCTGTAGTTTTCTTGTAATGCCTTGTCTGGTTCTGGTATCAGAGTAATGCTGACCTCAAAAAAGGGTTGGGAAGGGGGCGCCTGGGTGGCTCAGTCCTTAAGCGTCTGCCTTCGGCTCAGGTCATGACCCCAAGGTTCTGGGATCGAGCCCCGCATCGGGCTCTCCACTCTGAGGGAAGCCTGCTTCTCCCTCTCCCACTCCCCCTGCTTGTGTTCCCTCTCTCGCTGTGTCTCTCTCTGTCAAATAAATAAATAAAAATCTTTTAAAAAAAAAAAAGTGTTGGGAAGTATTCTCTCTTCCTTAATTTTCTGGAGGAGTTTGTGTAGAATTAATATTATTTCTTCCTTAAATGTTTGGCAGAATTGCCCAGTGAAATCATCTTGGCCTGGAGTTTTCTTTGAGGGAAGATTTTTATTTTTTTTTCATTTATTTTTAAATTTTTTATTATTTTTTTTAAGGTAGGCTCCACACCCAGTGTAGGGCTTGAACTCATGATGCCAAGATCAAGAGTCACATGCTCTACTGACTGAGCCAGCCAGGTACCCAAAGGGAAAAATTTTAAAGTATAAATTTAATTTTTTTAATAGCTGTAGGACTATTCTGATTTTTAATTTTTTCTTGAATGAGCTGTGATAGTTGTATCTTTCAAGGAATTTCTATTTCATCTAAGTTGTTGAATTGATGGGCATAATGTTGTTCATAATACACATATTATTCTTTTACTATCTACAGAATCTGTAATGATGCTTGCTCTCTCATTCTTGAGATTGGTAATTTGTGTCTTCTCTCTCTCTCTCTCTCTTTTTCCTGAATTTTCTGGCTGTAAGTTTATCAGTTTAATTAGTCTTCTCAAAGAAGGACTTTTTGGGTTCATTGGTTTTTTTCTACTGATTTTTGGTGTTTTGTTTCACTGATTTCTGGCCTTTATTATTTCCTTTATTCTGCTTACTTTGAATTTCATTTGCTCTTTTTTCCCTAGTTTCTCAAGTGGAAGCTGAGGTCATTGATTTGAGACCTTCTTCTTTTCTAAAATAGGCATTTTATTGCTACAAATTTCTCTGTAAGCACTGCCTTAGCTACATCCCACAAATTCTGATATGTTGGATTTTTATTATAATTCAATTAAAGAAGTTTTCTAATTTCCCCTTTGATTTCTTCTTTGCCTCATGGATTATAAGTGTATTATTTAGTTTTCAAATATTTGTGAATTTCTCAGATAACTTTCTGTTGTCAGTTTCTAATTTTCTGCATTGTGGCCAGAGAACATGATTTGTATGACTTAAATCTTTTTAAATTTGTTGAGACTTGTTTTATGGCCCAAAAATATGATTTATCTTGGTAAATATTCCATGTGCACTTGAGGAGTGTGTGTTCTTGCTGTTGGATGGAGTGCTCTGTAAATGTCAATTAAATCAAATTGATTAATAGTGATGTTCAAGTATTCTATATCTTTACTGATTTTTTTCTACTTGTTCTATCATTTTTAAAAGATGTATGTTGAAATCTATGAATATAATTGTAGATTAGTCTGTTTCTTCTTGCATTTCTATCATATTTTGAA